ACACTCACATTATGGGGACCTGGCATTCCTTGGGGGGAGTGTGTGCTGAGCAGTCATCAGTGATTGGTTAAATGTTCACACCTCAAGCATTAGCATTACAAGCACTGTGTGCAAACACACAGATGACTGCATGTATGAGAGGGGTGCAGCCCTTCCCTCCTCCAAACAGAGTCCAGCACAGAGAAAATACAGTGGAAAAACAAAGCAGGACGATCTGCGCCAGCTGTGCTTGGTGATGGTTAAGGGTAGTACGGTGTGTACCACACACGTGCAGTAACACTGGGCCCTATGTGAAATAAGCGCATGATTGACAGACCTTCTCCTCCTTTTGATTTGCGGTTCATTAGATGAAGTGATCGGAGTGGCACCATGCAGAGTGACAAAGACAAAGGGATAACATGAGATATAAAAGCCTGATGTGATGCACAAAGACCTCACTGCAGCAGAAAGAAACTTTGCTGTCTACTATTCGAAAACACTGTGCATTTTGGGGAATGCATATTAGGAACAACAGTGTTTGATCGACTAGATTAACCTGCATTGCCTTTATGAATCCTGGTGCTTTTTGAGTGCATTGTACAAATTATTCCTGTATGATTTGTATATTGCCTTTTTTCCTCTCTGAAGAACTTTGTAACTCGGTTTGAAAAGTGCTATGCAAATAAAGGCCATTATCTTTACTACTGGCTGAATGATATATTTTTAGATGCCATGCTGAATAAAGCCAGTTTTATATTTTATTTCATTTTTTTTTTGTCTTTTACTGTGAAGCAGTAGAAAAGTGCTCTACAAAAACAATTAATCAAATATGTTTAGTCATATTTTCATAATACTACGTAGCTACTGAAAACCTCACACATCACAGTAAAATCTTATTTATTGGAATGAGCTATTTAATTTGCTGGAGACAAAAGGGAGCTCCTTCAAAAGACTAGCTATATTAAAATCCAGTTAAAGAAGTAAGCGCTCATTATTCGTTGATTATTTGAAGCTTTCTGTGCTGTTGAGATAGCAGCAACAGATAATATCACTGCCTACTGATTGGAAATAATTAAGCAGAACTGTACAAATGAAACATGTCTGCGGCTCTTGTAATTCACACCTTTCCAGGAAACCTATTGGAAATTATTAACAAATCATGCAGTGTTACCAACTTTAGGAAACGCGATCATTGTTGATAGTTTTGTTCTTCAGCTTTAATTTAACAGTTTCTTTACTCTTCAGTAAAGTTTTGTTCTTATGAAAATCAAAATGAAAAGGAGGACATTTATATTTTCATAATGCAGCATATCTTTAAGATGCAATACCTTGAATAATGCAGGTTGAGTGATTCCACAGCATCAAATCCTTTTTATTCTGCTGAGCTCAGTCTGTCTGAGCTGCCTCCTCCGTGCACAGCCCTGTGGCTCTGTTGTACAGAGCTCTCTGGGAGGGGTGTGATGTGTTCAGGCTGCGACACCGCAGAACCAGAGCAGCCCTTACTCCTTAATGACCCGTCTGTATGGCAAATACAAAAATAAAGTGACAGTGGGCGACCTACTGCTGTAATTCATCTTCATTTTAATTGGGAACACTTTGTCTTGCTGGCTCCTCCACATTAATAAAATGAAGCACAAGACGTAGTCCATCCCAGGTGTCGCTGAGCTGAAAACACCAGATAAAAATTTTTTCTTCCTCTTCTCATTTATCATCTACAAACAGGAGATAAATAGAAGGGAAAACCTTCTTTAATGAGTGGTCTCTTCCAGGATGATGGTGCCAGTGTCAGCTGTTGGCAGTAGTTTGTGCGGTGTGTTCAAGTGCCACTGATTTGACCCTACTGGCCCAGACAAAGGCAACGTGAGACAACGCAACAGTCAGCCTATGCTGCTGCTAGTTCTTTCACATCGGCTTGGTGTGACTCTGCCCTTAGACAACGTCTCCACCACCATCATCAAAACATCAGAATAGGGAATATCCTTTGGAAGAATGTGTTCATCCCTCCAATAGAGTTCAGAGACTTGTAGCATCAATGCCAAGGAACACTGGAGCTGTTCTGGTGGCACGTGGTGGTGGTCCCAAAGGTACTTTGTTGAAAATTTCCTTTAATTTATCACCTGTTTGTGTCCTTGTCTTTTCATCTTTTTTGTCATGAATGTTGTTTTTCTCATCTTCTGAACATACAATATATCCAACAATGACAGCAAATGTTATCTCAAACAATAGTAACAGAACATCAACAGAGGTCATCTGAAACATTAATTGGGATTGTATTACTGAGTAAAAAACAAAACTTAATGGTGTTTTCAGATGTTTGCAATCCGGATGGACTCCCAGAGACCCCTTGTCAGGCCAGGTCTAGATCTTGTTGGATTTATTGATGCACAGTGTGAAGCACACTCTTGCGTCCTCTGAGTTGAGCCGTATGTGAGAAACAGCACACCGTGAGGAAGACATGGGCTAAAAAGGACCAGCTGCCACTGCAGATACTGAATCTGCTTTGTGAAACCCAGCACTGATTCTTGCTGATGAATGTATTTGATACATGTATTTTCTTCTACCTATTAGCTCTTTTGTGCCCATATGCTAAAATAGCTTTACAAAGATCTGTTGTATGCACAATAACAGTAACATCTTCAGCGATAGAGTCCAGTTCAATATTGCAGCTTTGACAATTATCGGTCAGTTCATAAATACCGGCGCCTTTCTGACCATTATAAGCGTCACTTTGCTGCAGAGCTTTATGTTTGGTTTGATTGTGCTGTACAGGTGTTTATATTATTGCTATTCTTACACACTAATCTTGACAGTTTACTGTATGATACGCCGTGCTTGTATCTATCAAATGTGTGTTCAGTGTGGGCACAGCACAGTGTGTGTCTGCTATGAGGAACATTAGTGGAAATAAAAAAGCTTAGACCAGCTCTTATCAGCAACAGACGGTCCATAGCAGCAACCCTGTCCACAAAATAGGTTTTACAAAGCCCACCAACTAACCTGCCCTGTACGTCTCATCTCTGCCTCTGCACAGGAGATCACACAAGCTGCTGGACTTCTAACCTGCCGTTCAGCACCCGAGGAGCCGAGAGCATGTGAGCTAAGATTGACGGGTGGATCAGAGCAGCTGCAGCGGCGGTGTCTGAGGGAGTAGCCGAACACGGGTAAATTGTTTGAGATTTACATAAGCAAATCCCTCATTATCAGCAAAAGGCCTGACTTCCCACCTGTTGTCAAATCCCCTCGTCTTTTTCAGCACTGCCAGTTTTGGGAAGACACACACACGCAGTCTTAGAGGAATCATTTTAAATGTCAGCCATGTAAAATTGGGTATGTCCCAAACTGCCATGGTCTTATTTATATGCACAGTACTTTTTTCCTCTGGTAATCCCCTAGAAATTCATCCTTCCGGTGAGATCAAGATCCAGATTTTTTTGGATCAAACTGACCGAATTGTTTTGAACTAGCCTTTTTTGAGAATTTGTTCCAGATTAAAGCTTGGATTTGAGTTCCTGATTCAATCTAATGACAGACTGATCTGAATCCTGTTGTTTGGTTTTGAAATCTCTAAAATCCAAATCTGATCAGCTTGAATAGTTATTACAAGTTTTCAAGAACAGAATGACACAGGGGTCATAGGTCATGACAGTCCTGTAAACTGCACAAATCACAGAATAACCAGAACATACTCAATACCCCAAGACAAAAACCTCCCTAGGTTAGATCACAGTGCATAATTAGCGATAAGGAGTTTAATAAGGTGCTGGATAGGTTAGCTGAAAAGCTGGTGATGAAGAAACATCTCTTAGTTTTGAAATGAAAGTTTCTCAGATCCTGTACTTTAACGATCAGACTGACACATTTAGTTTTAGGGTGTTACTTACTGCTCACAGCTGATAGAGGAGCATCACATTGCTATACTTTAATATTTTGAGAAAACTAATTACAGGTGCTAAATTGCATTATCCTCTGCAGCTGAGAGAGTTTGTTCTACTATATGTGAAGTTTTACCTGTTTACATTGCCATATTTCATGACAAAACATGTTACAGGTATATTTTGATATCAACCAGTGTTCATTCATGCTAATGTCACTGGCAGATGCTAACACAAATAGCTTAAAATGTACTTTACAGCACTTCTGGTTTCTCTTGTTAATGTACTGCCCACACTGCCATACACAATCCAACAAATTAACCATTTTTGGCTCTTTATCTTGTACCTACCAAGCTAGCAGTGGATATAACCATCTTAATATGCAGCAATATATGAACATTTCTTTCCTCATTCTTCTGACATTGTGTGAATGCAGCTTTAGTGTCATCTGCAGGGAGGAAGGCAATATCTGAAATATTTTATTTTACCAGTGTAAATTTTACTTGTCAGCATTTAATAGCAGTCATCTATTTTAATCACTTTATGAAATGAATTTTTATGGTGACTTGACTGTACTGATGTTGGCTGAAGGTGGAGGTGGTGCATTATATGTTGTGTACAGAGTGTTGTTTTGTTTGCGACAGATCGTCACATTTGCTGCTCTAAGACAACTGTGACTTGTTTGGAGGAGCAATTTGTCACAAATGAGGATCTACTTTGTTTCTCCCAATAAGATAAATGAGTAAGTCCACTTAAACAGTTACCGTCTGACTATATAAAGCCTGAACTCCTGCCAACTGTCTAATCACCATTTTCAGACTCTGAACATGGTGAAAGTTTTTCACTTCATGACGTCACACCTGTTTGCATAGATCTTCTCACAGTTTGCAGCATGTACCAACTTATGAAAATGTATGCACTGTAAAAAATGCAATTTGTGTCACTCCTATGCAAATCCTGCAGTGTTTTATATGAAAACTGCGAGTCACAATGAGCATGTTATTGCAGCTTGTGAGAACATATTCGTCTTGGTGACAGAGCCTCACAGCACAATGAAGAAAAACACATCACACACAGACAGACAGACTCTCCTTGGCCATATCTGTCAGGGCAGACAAACAAAAGCAAGCAGAGGAGTGTGTGCTCTAACGTTTGTTTTTAATATAACAAGAGAAAACAAATCCTTGCTTCCTCCACCCGAGTCTGAAAAGTAGCTCGCTAGCAATCACTCTCTGGTCACAGTTTATGTGTTGATAGTAAACAATATAAAAAAATACAGCAGTTAAAATCAATTGAAAGTAGTCATCAGAAAATGTACAGTTAAATTAGACATTTGTGTTTAAAGGCATCATAAAGCTAGTTACTAATACATGAAGTAGCAGTGGAGAGATCAAAATACTTTATATACAATTAGAAAAACAGCAGCTGAAACCACATACTTTAACAAACACGTTGTGATGACTGTGGGTTCCTGTCAAGGTCAGTGAATTCACTGACACTTGGGGTAGAACTCACACTCCTGATCAATATTACAGATGTCCCCTATCCACACACTGGTAGAAATGGGACACACAAGGAGAGCGAGTTCACACTGTCACCCCAAATTAATATTCTTTACCCTTTACCTATTAGACCCCCTGTTGGATGGTTTTTTACTCTGTTGATTGAACTCGCACTGTGAATTGAGCTGCTTTCTCAGAGTCTCTCTTCATTTGTGACCTTTTGAAACTTGACAGCCCCCATCTGTAATCTGGGCTCAGATTCATGGTATTTTAAAGAAGTATATTAACTGAGCTGAGGAGAATATTGAAGGGAGAGTGATGAATATATTGGTGCAGAATCCTCTGAGCCATGTCTGTGAGGTTCAACAAGGACTTAATAAATAGAATCTAACGTACAGCTTGTAGTTGTACTGTTAGAAAGCTGCTGTTGGTTTTATTGCTGTATGGAAAATGACTGTTGAAAAGTATTAAACATTCACATTTCAGACACTTAAAATGGACATTAAAGCACTTAAATCTGCTGTAACTGATTTAATTTAATTTAATTCATTTATTGGGGCACCTGGATGCAGTAGAAACAAGACGGTTGTTGTAAAGACAACTGTGACATGATCATCATCAGGTTAATATGGCAAACTGTTAGCAAACAGCTGCCTATTTACACATTCAGCATGTATAGAACAACATCATCATTTATTTCCTGTTGTGTTTCTCACCACATGATGAATCTAAGTCCAGTATTCACTCTCCTTTTAGCTCTGCTTTTAAACGCTCCACTATATTCCGCACCTAGTCACCAACTGTGTCTGTTTGCCATTTGGTGCTGAGCAGGTAATGTACAGTGGGTATGAGAGAGCTGCTCGTTATGTCTGGAAGTTATGCCAATGGCAGCAGTAAGACGTTTAATTTATCTGCCGGAATACCAAAACAACGAGCTGAAAGGCTCATTAGAGCTACATGCAGCTAAGAGAGCTACAGATATGGGTGATAAATCCTTGTGGGTTTGTCACTAAGGGCGATTCCTTTCATATACAAGTAATGATGTGATTCCATTAAAAATAAGAGAAAATTGTTAATAAAAATATAGATTATATCTGTTGTAAAGAACCTTTTTCCAGTGTTTTGGACCTAAACCACCCAAATTTCAGTTATTCTTATCATAAAACATCAATGGCAAACAACTTGGAGCTTGTTAATGGGCCTGGTCAGGACTTCCCCTTTACTGTGCATTCCATTAAAGTCCATTAAAACGTGTGTAGAAGCATAAAAGCTCCAATGGAGTTGGTCAGGATTCACTGTATTGCATTAGGACACTTCAGAAAAATGGTTGTGTCACAACAACAGGTGGGTTGCCTAATCACCCTCCTACCAAAAAAAAAAAAGCATCATATCTGCCATCTTACCCACTGCTCAGTGGTTCTACACTACACTAATTGGTGTTGGGCTAAGAAATGCAATTAATTACTTACAGGGAGAAAATTAATTAAAAAAGAAAGAAGCATTTGGTCTCTGTATGAATAACTGTATGACTTTTCCTTTTACCCACTATCCTTTGTTTCTTGTCAGTAATTGCTTGTACTGGCTGCGGAGTTATTTACACATGCAGTAAATGTTCATTGTCCTCTTGTATCCTTCTCTTTTTGAACACACCTGTAGGGCGTTCCCTAATAAACCATTCAACCTAGAAAGAGTAACTGATTGCGTGTGAACGTTCACAATCACAGTGAAAAATTAAGACTGACGGTGAAATGTAAGGCTGTTCTCACGTCAGTTTCATGAGCAAGTGAAACCGTGGACTCAACAGGTGGCAGTTGCATGATGGGAGCTGTGCAGAACAGATGTGTTAAAAACAGTCTGGAAGAATTATTGCCAGTACAAGATAACTGTAATCAATAGGGATTTTTGGCAAACTGACAGGAGCACAGCATGTGTGGAAAAAAATTGAAGACTGTGGTGACATTAATCATGGAAAGAAAATCCAAGATGTCAAATAATAAAGAGTGCAGTTGTTTGAAACTCACGCATTACCATACACAGTATATAATGAAAGCTTTTGTGTTTATACAGTTTGAGTGTATGCAAGCATGTAGTATGCCTGAATGTACCAAGTCAAACATTTAAAATTTATGTGCTTGCCATCCAGTGGTGTACCCATGCACAGCCTCATCCAATTGTAAAAGTCATTACTGCATTAATGGCATCACAGCACTTCGTGGGATATCTGCTCCTGCTTCAGGTATGAATCAATTCAGTCACTGCATGACCAAAACACTTCTTCAACTTTACAAGCAAAATCAAAATGGGGAAAAGCTACTGGATGAAAGAAATGAGTGTGATTACTGGTTCCTTGCTCCCAGATCAGAAGTCCCGCAGCCTTGTTGTGTCTCCTTGTAGAGTTCTTCGAAAATGCTTTCATGTTTTCTACTTGAAAGGGGAGAGTGGTGTAGTGATTGAGCTGGAGGTTAGAGAAGAGCACAAACGCACAAAGGGATCCTAAGAAGTGACATTTCAGCCTCCACTCATAGAGCTAAACAGTCCGAACACAGACAAGAGCAACTGTTGTCCTCCTGTTTTACACCACTGAGTAAAAAGTTCAAATGACTCCATAGTCCCTGAGAGACTTGACCAGCACCGTGTCCTTGACATCACTGAACACCCTGCGGATGTTGTTGGTGTCGGTGGCACAGGTGAAGTGTGGGTAAAGAGTCTTCCGCTCCTCCCTGTTATCACGGTTGACTGCCTGCTGCTCATACAGCTTGCGAATGTAGTTCTTGGCATCCTCCGGGTCTTTCCTTTTACCTGTTACAAAAGAAATGAGCATACAGACTAGATTAAAACATTAGATGTGATTAAATTAGATTAGAACAACTACCGTCTTTTTAGGCAAAGAAAAAAGAATGAAATCACAATTAGAATAAATTACATTTAACATTCAGAGTAGCTGTGCATGTCTTACTTCAGTAATCCTGCATTATTGTCACATAAAACAATGTCCCAGACAGGATTTTTTTTTTGTTGTTGTCACGCAACAGATTATCAACCAAAATCACAAGTGAGGTTGGAGTAAAGAAAAAAATACAGCCCATCTTCATAGATTCATTTTATAAGATTGACTGTAAAAATCCCTTTCTTCTCAAAGCACATATTGGAAAAAGCAGGTACTGGACAGTCCTTAAGTGCAATTTGAACAAAAAGATCAATACGGCCAATTCTCATGAAGCTGATCTGAAAGACCACAGGAGTTTGAAGTACTGAACATTTGGAAATTCTACCCAAATTATTTTTGTGTCAAGAGGCTAGTCAGTTAATTGACTTATCATTTTAGCATATTACATACCAATTTATAACCACTGTAAAAGACTGCAGGGCTACTTAAAAACAGCAGCATGCAAGTATAGCTACAGCAGGGACACACAAAACGCAGCAACCAGCAGCCGACAGAGCTGCTCAGAGTTGTCATTAAGGTTAAACTGAAATCAGCAGGCTTGACCCTATATGAGTGCTAATGCTGATGGTAAAACACAGTGCGCACACTGCTGATACACACAAGCACTCCTGGTCACTAATTCCCACTCAGCACATACACACCTCCCACATGTACACTTGGGGGTTTGCAGGGGGTGTGTGGCTTGTGCACAGCATCTGTCTGTGGTTGCCATAGGTAACAGAGGGAGGGGGTTGTCGGGGCGACGCTCTGCAGCCTTTCACACTAGCGAAGCTACAGGCTGCAGCCACATCAGTAAGCACACCAAGTACCTGGAAGTGACTCATTTGCAACTGAGTGTGTGTGTGTGTGTGTTTATGTGTGTATAGAGAGAGAGAAAGAAGCAAACAGTAAACAAAAAACTGAAAAGCTGTAATGATTCTGGCTTTGCTCACACTAGAACCTCGATGAAGGGAGATTTTTTTTTTCCCCCAGTTCATAGTCAGGAGATGTACTGTGACTGAAATCATTTTTGCAAATTACTTTTTGTGAAATGACACATTATTTCCACCGGGTACAGTAGGATGTGATGAGATGGCTGCAAGCTTGAAGTAAATTAGCTGAAAGAAAAATACATCACAACCCTTCTCTGGCATGATCATGTCCATATTGAGATGAGAACACACACCTGCAGATAACTAGCTGCAACTACGGTTGTTGATGGTCAAATCTGCAGCCGACAAGGCTCCGCAACACTGGACATCCCCTCCAATACTGTCATTACTTGTTTGAATGTTTGAAGCATTGAGCTTCATCAGTGCACAATTTGTCAGTGTTTAAGTCAAAATCCACTACAACTGTGCTCACTCACAAAATCGGAACCCAACACACACACATACATAAATACCCACAAACCTGATTTTTTCAAATAGCTTCATTATTCAGTTTATAAATTGTCAAAAACGGATCTACAGCAATGCTAGCAGCTTTGTGATGCCTCTAAGTAAACGCTAAGGCTAGAATATTGTTTTAATATGCTCACAATAACAATGCTAAACTAAAATAGCAATTAGACAACGGTCCAAGACAAATGTCATGGGAGTCCATCTGATGTATAGAGCATGGATTAGGCCACATATTTCGGTCAAAATCTGACCTGTGCCCAAGAGTGTTCTAAACCTGAACCAAACCCGACAAACTTATAATGTCCGAACCAAATACAATTGATTTTGTACGGTTTTCCCCTTATAATTAAACGAAGCAGACATTTGAGTGCTCCAGCTATCTCGCCTAAAGTTTGACCTACATGTCCGCACCTGAACATAATTTCTAAATTTCTGTCCGAACCTGGCCCAAACCCTCGGGTCAAGACAGGTCCCATTAGGCTCAGTTTGGTTATCCCCACTCTAATACATTATGTCAAGGGCACCATGAATGTAGGAAGATTAACAATACAGTAATTCATCCAGTATTTACTGAGACATTTCAGTCTGAACCAAAGTGATGGACCAGCATAGTCATCCATCAAGCCATGCTGCTACTGGGGCAAAATAAAAAAAAACAATGAAAATGCCAATAACAGGCTACCAGAGGCCAAGATGAAATAATGAAATATTTAAATCACTCCTGTTTGATCAACAATCCCAAATCCAAATCTCTTTAGCACGCAATGAAGGCAACAAATCTCCACATCTGAGAAACTAAAACAAGATATCATTATTTTCTCCACATCTGAGAAACTAAAACAAGAGAATATCATTTTTCGGTCCATTCATTTTGTTTAATCCTCTCGTTGTTTCATCGATTACCTGGTTTACCATTCATCTGGTTCATCCAGCAGTTACTATTACTTCAGTAACTTTGCAGTAAATAAAAAAACAAGTATGTGCACACATTCACAGTTTACCTGAGAAACTGGGGAAGTATTTCTGCAGGTCAGAGGTTTGGACTTTGTCAGCCAGGATGTCAGTCTTATTGAGGAACAGGATGATGGAGGTGCTGTGGAACCAAGGGGAATGGATGGTGGTGTAGAACAGAGCCAGACTCTCCAGCATTCGGTTCTGAAGAAGAGACACAGCGTCAGATATCATACTAGAGCCAGAAGGGCTCTGTATAGAGGGAGAAGATTTCACACCAGTGAGTTTTGGAGAGATGATTTTGACTTGAAGAGAGGAAAAACATGCATTGTCAGGGTTGGCTGGGTGGATATGGATGGATGAGGAGAAAGCAGTCCTTTCAAGAGAGGAGGGGAGAGTTTATGGTGGGTCTGGAGCACACAGGCCACGGTGGAGGTTAATGAATGTGTTGGCAGGCTAGAAAGTGACTGGGAGAGATAAACGGCTTAGTGACAGGATGTGAAGGAATGGAGAGAAGGCGACGGGGACTGGAGGGGGGAGGAAGAGGAAACTGAGGGGATGATGTTTTCTTGTGCAAGAGTGAGGCCTGCTGGTGAACGGGTGAAATGACTGCACGAGAGCCGAGCGAGCGAATTGATGGATGGATGTAGAGTAGAAAATTACTTCAGTGTTTCTGTTTAATGATACCTCATAAAACTCCACTAAATTTGAGGTAAATAGTTTACTTTTCATATCATTATATTTTTCAAAAGTGAGAGTTGCAAACTTATTTGGAAACTAAAAATTTTCATTCAAAACGTGATGATGAAATATAAAGAAAATCAAACTGCATATAAAGTAACTGAAATTAGCTCTACCTCACTCAGTTACAGAGTTTAAAAACTGTTTATATGTTAAACCAATAGTAATCATAACTAAAATGCTTCAACAAAGTAAAACAAAGAATCATTGTTTGCTACTTCTGGGCCACTACTATCTAAAATTGTTGATTGGCTCTGGTTTGTAAGATGTGGCACTAGCAGTGTGTGAATTTTGCTTGGAAAAATGACTGAACTGTGTCAGCTCTCTGGGAAAAACCAGAAACTATAACCAAAACTCTTGAGGGATCCTGTTACAAAGCTATTTGCTTTTGAAAGAACAAGCTTCTTAGGTGAAACCTTAGGCTGGTTTTGTGTCTCAGGCAGTACATGCCAGACAATTTTCATTTAACTAAGGCACATTCATACAGTACCTCAGCTCAAGACCGATAGCTTTGTTGTATACATCAGACCATGTTCTCTGCTGAAGTCAAAAGGTGGCATAAAACGTGAATGGCTAAATATCCTACATAATGAAGCCAATCAGCTCCTCTAAATGTCATATCTGAATCTAGCGCCTCAAAATCCATATAAAAATAGCAAATTTCAATTTGGAAGCAGAAAACCTTTTACAAATTGTAGACCTATGTAATCCAATAAGATAGGATTTCTTGTTATTATCAATTTGTTCATGATTGGTTAATTTGTGGATTCATATTTCAATTCACTGAATCTATAAAGTATCAAAAAATAGTGAAAAAGCCCAGTCCCAGTTTCCTAATGTCCAAGGTGACATCTTCACATGCAGCGGTTTGTCCAACCAGCAGTGCAAAACCCAAAGTTACTCAGTTTACAGTAATGTAAAACAAAGAAAAGCAGCAAATTCTCTGATTGCAGAAACTAAAAACATTGAATATTTGGCAGTTTGTGCTTGAAAGATTACACAACCCATTAATTGGTTTATCAAGCAATTTTTCTTGCATTCGTCACTTAGGGTCTGTACATAGACCTACATTCATTTCCAGGAGACTTACCCTAAGTTTAACCAGAACTTCTACTTGCCTAACCTTAACCCTTACCCTAACACTTAACAAAAACCGACACTTACACCACGTAATTTTTGTAAAATTTGACGAATTAGTTGTGGGGCCCGGTCACCGGTCCCCACAAGTGACTTCCAGTCCTCACAAGGCAGAGTGCTCCCAGTGTTCCATCCCCACAAGTATACACAAACAAGACCACACACACACACACACACACACACACACACACAAGGAGCTCTTACAATGGTGTCTCTCTCCTCTAGAACCTGGTCGTACTCGCTGAGGGACGCAAGGAAGATGAGGGAGGTGACGTTTTCAAAACAGTGGATCCACTTTCGACGCTCCGACTTCTGACCCCCCACGTCCACGATCCTGCCAAGACCCGAGCAGAGGAAGGTAGGCCGAGTTAAGAGTTAACAAAGAGTTTTGAGAGCAGTTATACACATATCCACAGATACTATACAGAAAAGTCTGTAAGAATTTGGTTCTGTGTTTCATATTTGTAATAAGACTATGAGATGAAAATGCAAACTGTCAGATTTAAAGTTGAAGACAGAAACACAGTCGGAGCTTTAACCTCATAGTCACTGTTGAATGTCTTGACAAAACCCTTAAATATTAAGGTGTACAGATACGGTTGTTTTAATTGACTATTTAATCAGTACTTACTTTCTCCAGTGTTACATAGTGAATGCTTTTGTCAGTGATTTATTAATTATGTTGTAGACAGTAAAGCTCTGAAAATGTTTGTACATGTTATTTAAATTAACTTAGATTCTTGTTGGGACTTTTTTTTTTAGTATTGTTGGAACATGTAAACGTGGTGCTCTGCCATTCCATAACGGTGCTACTTAAATTTATGCAGGCTGGGCATAGCTCAGTAAAACAAACATTAATCTCCTTAAAAACATAATATTGTCATTTGGAGGATGAATTTCTTAGGAAAATTCAGTAGTAGTTTTCATGATAAATTCCTTCCTGAGTTTAGGCTGTTTTAATTGTGAGCGTTGCTTCATGATTTAAGAGCAGGTATCATTTTATCTGGGAACAGTGTCCCTTATAAGTGAACTGTGGTTTTTGTCTGCCTGCTCTGGTCTCTGAAACAATACCTGCACATGCTCAAAAATAAAACACATAGTGACACCTCACTTCCTAGCAGGTGCTTTGTACACGAGTAATCAGAAATGTGACCCTGCTGCATCCCAACGGGCATGAGCAGACAAAGCCATTGCAAGAGTCAATAGTATTTTTTCTTTTTTTTTTTCCCAGGACAGTGAATAGCATGGGTATTAGATTTGTCCCTGTGAGAGGGTGGTAATCTGAGGATTGGCCACCTTAGAGTGATGGCCTTGATGGTGAAGGAATAATCATGGATGCCCGTGGTAGGGAATCGGACTCGCAGCACATCCTGCTCAGTGGGGATGTAGTCTGGGGCGGCGATGCGGTCCAGATTAGTCATGTAGCTGAGGAAGAGAAAGAAAAGGTTTTACAGGCAGTGTTGAAAAAGTCTGTTTATGATACTACAGGAGACCTCTTGTAAAACATATGGCCTGTGTTTATATCATGTCCAACCTTGACCGTCTTAAACAAACCCAAGTGACACAAGATGTATGATATATTAGTGATGATAAAAAACACTGATTAAAAATACAAGACGGGAGTGCAGAGAGTCCATATCACCCTGTGTACAGACAACGGCTTTATGGCCCGTGTTGATACAAGCTGTCGTTAGCTAACGCTGACTGCCTGTCTCTTATCGTGAACACACCATGATGACTGAGCTGCTGTTTAAACACGGAGCAGAACAGCCATAGAAAAGAGACAAAACAGACACAGGCTGAGCACAGGTTTTGCTCTGCGACACATCAGATACTTTGAGCATGAGGCTCACACCTACACCATGTTGATTTAAATCACACAGTCTGAGGGAAACCTATTAAGGCTCTTATTATCATCTTAAAAGATAATGAATGTGAGAAAGACAGTTGGCTGTTTCCCTCATAGACTCTTTCATCAACTGGTGGTTTCAACATGACTGAGAAATGAATAATTACTGCACAGTCTGTACAGAAGCAGCGCCCGCCAGTAGTCTGAGTACAAACTACATATTCTGGATAGTACAGTGACAAACTAGGATGTGGAGGTGAAACAAAGAAAAACATCGGTTAGTTTTCAAACATGGGTTTGAAAACTAAAAATCAAAAAAGGATCGGGAAAATATTTCAGACTGGTAAAATATCATATGTGGCCATATCAGGAAAAATGTCTCCCTTATTTTAAGATGACATTTTAATAATCTTATTTTCATGAGAACATAATTATTTAAAAACAAAACTACAGGAAAACATTTATTTAATGTTTTTAAAGTTTTCAAATAATAAGAATATTAAAAAAAGAAAAGAAACTGGAAACTAATACAATAAATACACAGAGCCTTCCATACTTAAAACTAAGTGGCCATTATATTCTGTGTACAAAGGTCATATTAATTCGCAATACAATAGCTACTGTATATATAATATATCACCTCATGTTCTCTTGTGACACATTAGCAGGTAACAAAATTATGACGTTATTAGTTGTGTGCTGCTGTAACTTCTGGTACTGTTGAGCTTTGTGGCTTTTTAGCCATTTTCTTGTGTTTTGCTATGATTGTTAGTTTTATGCCAGTTTGAAGTTGAACAGTGGCACGTGTACAGTATAAGTTGCCGTCTGTGTTAAACAGTCTGAGTCCTGGTGCTATCTAGCTGACAGTGCAGATTGTTTTGATTTGGTTTGCTAAGATATCTGCTTCTTGGATTGCTGCCAGAGTCCCAGTATTGATTACTGGGACATTTGTGGTTCTTAAAGCATTGAAAATGTCAATAATTATGAATTCAACAACAGCATGAAAGTGTTGCTAGATGTTTCAGAGATGGACTCTTCAAAATCTCAACAAATAGAACCAAAACTATGTGAATTTCAGCTGAAAGTATTGATTGATTTGTCCAAAAACAAACAAACAAAAAAGATAATCATTCAATTTATTTTTCAAACCACCTTGTCAAATATGAGAAATGTGTTTTTGTCGTTTTCTTTGTTTCAAACATCTATCTGGATTTTTTTTTTTCTTTTTTGGCATTCGATTAATTACTGACTTAAAAAATTAATCAGCAGACTGACTGTCAGTTGTTAGTTCTCTTAATAAAGAGACGGTTTTTGTTTTACACTTCCTCGTCTGGCCATTTAATTGAGTTCACAACACTTTTCGGCCACATTACGCGCG